AAACGGTTAAAGAAGAAATCACGAGCACGAATTTGTGACCATAATAATAGTTCTTGTAGCTTTTGCATATTAATGGAAATTAACAGAGAAAAAAAAGAAAGAAGAGGAATCGCTATTTTATGAATCTCCTTCATAAGATTTATGATGCTAATGTGTTTTGGTTCTTAATACAAATCATCTAATTCCTATCTAAAAAGAAAAGGAAAAAAGCTACAGAAACTCTAAATCACAAACATATATAGTAATCTCTTTTGTTTTCTCTGAAGCTCGTTATACACCATACCTCTTCAATGCTTTGCTTAAACTCGGCATTACGTTGTAAGCATGGTAAGATCTTCTGAGTTCAATAATGGAACCAACCTGTACCCAACAATAGAGATATCAGTGTAAAATGAATTTGGTATCGTTCAATTGAATGGTATTGAAAGAGGAACAAACACTTACAATGATTAAAACCGACGTAAATCCGATAGAAAATCCTTGATTGATGCTGCGTAGATAGTGGTCAAGTACAGTAGAAGATGTTGCCAAAAAGCTCAACAAAAGACCTCCTGAATCAAACCAAAACAACTAGTTTTTAGAGATTATATTCATATTATACACCCAATAAGCCTAAAAAGCAACAGCTTAATTAACTTACCCCAAAATCTGGTTGATGCTTGTATCTTCGTTAGGTACTCGATTGTGGCTTTCCCAGGCTTAATGTTTGGTATTCTTGCTCCCATTTTGTTTAAATAATCGGCTATTTCCTTTGGCAAGTTAGCCTACATAACAAAACAAGAAACCCGGTATATGTAATGTATAATGTGCATAGGAAGATTGAAATTCAGAGATTGAGAAAAAGGGTAATTATTTACTCACGATGTCAAAGATGTTGAAGAGAAAGACGCAAAACGCATAGATTGAGTAATAAACCCAAGGTGGTGCCCCAACCGTGCTTTCAGGGTTTAATATCTCCTTTACGTGCAGCAAGAAACGTGAACCCACAATACTAAAAACAAACAAACTTCCATATCAGACACCCTTAGTTGGCAATAGCAACACAAAGCAGCAAGAAACAAGAATGATATTAAACTTAACCGATTCTTCTAAGGATTTACCTTGCAATAATGCTGGGAAATGCCAAGAGATAAGTGGTTGTGAGAACAGGCTGCATTCCTGCTGGGTTAATGTTAAAAGGTATGTACGGCTCCACCTCGGTTATTGGAGAACCTTCTCTGCCCAAATGGTAAAAATATAACATAAACAAATATGAGTAACCACGAATTGCATGAAATGCATATAACACCCCTGATCCGGAGTAATGATGGATGGAAGGACAGTCATCAAAAGAATAAAGCAACCATGAGGCATAAACACTTTGAATGGTTGTGGAGTATGCATAAGACGAACTCTGTTTCGCACTAATAAAGTTTCAAAATTTCAAAGTGTTTTTGTGGAATGGTACCAAGTGGCCAGTCTTCTAAGGAAGGGCTATGGGAACACCTCAGCCTGGAACTAATTCCAGGTCGGGTGTTCAACTCGTCCTAGCTATACTGGTGAACAAATTGTGATATATAACAATCTATTATGCGAAATACTGATGATGAGCTACATATTACCTGGACGCAGAAGCAAGTTTAAAACCATAATATTGTAGTTTTATCTTCCTGCAGCCTTCGGTGACAACAACAGCAAACATAGTTACTACTGTAAAGATGCCCAGCACGCCCAACAAGTAAGGCAACCAATTCGAGAAACTTCCTGCAAAAACAAAAAGAATGGCTCTTGCTTTTTATAAATCAATCGGATAGAGAGAGGCGAGAGATAGACGATTCAGGGAAATGTATAAGATGTGCAGGCCGAAGGTAAAGACTTGCCATAAGTTTGGGAAAGTACCTGAGATTTGATTGAGCATCTTATGTAAGGTCTCTGTATAACCCGTCAATATTCCCACACAAATAATTAGAGATGATCCATGACCTGTAAAATGAGCAGAAAGGTATGAGCAAGTTCAACATATTACTCCATTTCAGTTCCAGCACAAGCGACCAATGGTTAGGTTCATGCCAAATGTAGACAATCGCAGAT